TAGGTCTTCCCGTCAGATGATGCCAGAGGAGGTGGAGCGCTGACCCAGTGCAGAGGGACATCAGAGCTGGAATCCGGTAAGTGACTAAAGGATTTAAATCCTTTATGTGCTACGGAGAGGCTGCAAAGGTGGGTGGACACCAGAGAGCACTATAGTATTAGGAATACAGATTATTTGCTTTACAGGGAGAAGGACTGCAGCTATACTCTACTCCCAAAAATCCTTAAAGGGACACTATAGTCACCCAGACCACTTCAGCTCAATGAAGTGGTCTGGGTGCCAGGTCCCTCTGGTTTTAACCCTTCAGATGCAAACATTTGGGGTTAAGCCAGCCTCTAGTGGCTGTCTTCCGAACAGCCACTAAAGACGCATCTGTGACGCTTGAGGCTTATTATGCCTCCATCGTGTAGAGCGTCCATAGGAACGCATTGAGAAATGCTTTCCTATGGACACTCTGAATGCGTGCGCGGCACTTGCCACACATGCGCATTTGGCTCCGCTGACGCCGGCAGAGGGAGCTGACGTCGGCGGGGGAGGAGAGGTCACCAGTGCCGAGGGAGCCCGGCGCTGGATTAAGGTAAGTAACTGAAGGGCTTTTAACCCCTTCAGTGCCAAGGGAGGGGGGCCCTGAGGGTGGGGGCACCCTCGGGGCACTATAGTGTCAGGAAAACCGCTTTGTTTTCCTGACACTATAGTGATCCTTTAAAGGGATATTTGAATTTTAAAGTCAGAGCAGCAGCCTGTGAACGTAGGTCCAGCGACATAGGTGACAGACTTGCAGAAAGGTGGTTCACACAGAAAAACAGCAGTGGGACAGTAGAGACACAGTTAAACAGGCAGATGACCAGGCAGTCGCCTTTTATATCAAGACCCTGTAATAAAATTATTGAAAAACTACATAGCTTTACAAGACAAAAAATTTAAACTATATACGACTATTTTATTTTTTCCCAAAACAGCAGCAACATTCTTTGGACGTGAGCCCAGGGAAGAGGTGACACAATAAGAGATGGGCTCTCACTTTTATTAGGTCCCTGCATCAATGGTAACAAAATAATGCAGTGCTTTACTGGGCAAAACACTGCAGCCCTATCCCACTCCCACCCTACAACCCTTAAAAAGGGATATTTTAACTCATAAAGGCAACAGACAGTTTGAATGTGAGTCCAGGGATAAGTGGTTGTCACACACCTAAAACAAATAAGAATGAACATGTTGGGCTAATGGCTCCTCTACAACCAATATGCACTTTAATCAACATGTAAAGATGGGTATCCAAGCTTGGGTAGGTTGAATTTTAAAAATGCTATTTTATCAACTATGGTATCTCACAAAAGTGAGTACACCCCTCTCATTTTTGTAAATATTTTATGATATCTTTTCATGTGACAACACTAAAGAAATGACACTCTGCTACAATGTAAAGTAGTAAGTGTACATACTGTATAACAGTGTAAATGTGTTGTCCCCTCAAAATAACTCAACACACAGCCATTAATGTCTAAACCGTTGGCAACAAAAGTGAATACACCCCTAAGTGGAAATGTCAAAAAACAGCAGCAGTAGCAGCAATAGGTCCAATAAAAAATACTTTAATATAAAAAACAGTAAAAACAGTAGCAAGATAAAAAAAAGTATAAAAATACACTTAACACATTTCACCACACAATGTCTTGCTCAAACGTTTTTACCAAAAACTTTTAAGAAAGCCATTGTATGGGGAAAAGTACTTTTGTACTGGACCTATTGCTGCTGCTGTTGGATCTTTTGTGCAATATCCTTGGTGGGGATAATACCACCTAAGCGCACTGAATTGAGCAAACCACATTTTGCTTTGGAACATGTAGGTCTTTTGTCTTTTTTATTGTGTTTTGTACTACATATTATAGTGTACGCTTTTGTGGTTTTATTTGTTTCCTCATATATATATATATATAAATATATATATATATATATATATATATATATATATATATATCCACGATGAACAACTATTTGCACCATATCCTTGAGTGGGGATCATACCACTTCCCACGCTATCCTTGAAGCCATATCTATGGCTCCATAACATGTGAGTGCACATTTTTATCTATACCTACTCTTGCTCCATAGCACAACATACTAAACCATATATGTTTCTTTTATCTTTTTACTTCTATGAGGATATCTTCCACTACCACATAAATATGAAGAATCAACCCTGCACTTAATCCTTAGGCGAGGATCATTTGGCCCAGGTGCATAAGTTGGAACTGTATATAAGCTCCAGAAAAGTGTGAATGGCCGTTTTTTATTTACTTACTCCAACCGAAGTTTCCATTTTGTGTCTCGTCCATGTAGTGTAACCACTGTTCCTTCAACATTTATTTATGAACTTTGCTATCAATGGTGTCTCTAGGAGCATTCAGTGCCTTAGCTATCTTTTTGTATCCTGTTCCTTATTTCTGAAGGGTGATGATTAATTGTTGGGTCATTCTTTTGACTTAGACATATTTCTAACATGCAGTCAAATCTGACACTCAACAAAACCCTAGTCTGTTCAGGTATTCCAAGTGTTTCAGCTTAAGCACACCCAGTGAAACTAATGAAGCCCTTGATTAGTTGCATTCTGACTCACTAATCCAAGCAAACATGCTCATCCATTGTGCAAGTCATTTGTTTCGTCTATATGGCGGTTGGGAAATTGTGAATTTGATCGGCCCAAATTCAGATTACAGTTTGTAAAGTAATAAATATTCAAGTCTGTTATTGATGGAAATGTAAAAAAGAAAAATAATGAAAGTAAACGTGGAAGTTCCTATAAGCAGAACATTTAAGCTTACATCATCTCAATTTATAAATATTTTGGCTGCTGATGTTATCTCGACTTCTGTTGCCCCCCTTAACTGGACCCTTAATAAGTGCTGTACACCTCTATTACTGGTTGAGCTGCAGACTGCAAATTCCAACATACAGAGAGGCAGCTATATTCTCACTGGAATAGTCATCAGTTATGAGATCTTCGTTGGAATAGCTTGCCAATAGTGCTTAAATTTGATTATAAAATTATAGTTTAGACACGTATTCTGTTGTTATAAGAGTTACATAGTTACATAGTTACATAGCTGAAAAGAGACTTGCGCCCATCAAATTCAGCCTTCCTCACATTTGTTTTTTGCTGTTGATCCAAAAGAAGGCAAAAAACCCAGTTTGAAGCCCAATTTTGCAACAAGCTAGGAAAACAAATTCCTTCTTGACCCCAGAATGGCAGTCAGATTTATCCTTGGATCAAGCAGGTATTACCCTACATTGAATATCCTTGAATATTCTGTTTTTGCAAGTATGCATCTAGTAGCTGTTTGAACATCTGTATGGACTCTGATAAAACCACTTCTTCAGGCAGAGAATTGCACATCCTTATTGTTCTTACAGTAAAAAAAAACTTTCCTTTGCCTCCTTTCTTCCAGTATAAACGCATTACCTTGTGTCCTAAGTCAAGTCCGGTTTTTGAATAGATTTCCACACAATGGTTTGTATTGGCCCCGAATATACTTGTATAATGTTATCAAATCCCCTCTCAGGCGATGTTTTTCTATACTAAATAGGTTTAAATTTGTTAACCTTTCTTCATATCTGATATGTTCCATTCCTTTTATTAATTTTGTAGCCCGCCTCTGCACTTTTTCTAGTGCCATAATATCCTTCTTTAGAACAGGTGCCCAAAATTGCACAGCATATTCAATACCAGTGATTTATAAAGAGGCAAAATGATATTCTCGTCCTGAGAATGAATGCCCTTTTTCATGCATGACAATACCTTACTGTCCTTGGCCACTGCAGATTGACATTGCATATTGTTGCATAGTTTGTTGTCTATGACAATTCCCAAGTCCTTTTTGTGTGTTGTTTTTCCTAATTCGCTTCCATTAAGGGTATACGTTGCTTGTGTATTCTATACGCCGAAGTGCATAACTAAATTTAATCTGCCATTTGAGTGCCCAGTCCCCCAGTCCATCTAAATCCCTCTGCAGCAAAGTAATATCTTGTTCACATTGTATTATTTTACAGAGTTTTGTGTCATCTGCAAACACTGAAACATGACTTTCAATGCTGTCTTCAAGATCATTTATAAACATGTTAAATGTCCCAGAACAGACCCCTGATGGACACCACTTGCTACCTCTGTCCAGCTTGAAAATTTACTATTAATGACAACTCTTTGTACTGTTTTTAAGCCAATGTTCTACCCATGAACATGCATTTTCATCTAGACCGATTTCCTTGAGTTTGAACACTAATCTATAGTGTGGAACTGTATCAAATGCCTTGGCAAAATCCAAATAGATCACATCCACTGCAACACCCTGATCTATACTTCTACTTACTTCTTCGTAGAACGCAGTCAAGTTAGTTTGACATAACCCTGTGCTTCATAAAATTGTGCTGATTTTTGCTGATAACCATGTTCTTCTCAAGGAATTCTTGAATATTTTCCCTTAATAATCTTTCAAATATTTTCCCAGCCACAGAAGTTAAGCTCATAGCTCTATAATTTCCAGGCAAGGATTTTGAACCCTTTTTTAATATAGGAACCACATCTGCCTTCCTCCAATCCTCCGGAACACTTCCTGAAAGAAAAGAATCTTGAAAGATTAAAAACAGAGGTTCACTTATGTAACGGAGCTTCTTGTACTCCGACTGAGTACACTCCGTTGATGGATGCTCCTAGCGCTTCCTGAGGACTCCAAGCAGTGCAGCAGACACCACAACCACCGCAGACTCTGCAACCACTGTATCTTGACTGGAGTCTCGCCGTCTTCCTTCCACCCTGGATCAGCATCTGTCCTCCAGGACTGTGTGGGAAAGAACTCTTCCTTCCACCCTGTATGAACCTCCAGCATCCAGGACTGTGTGGTGAAGACCCCTCCTCCAAGGAGAGCGTGTCAGGAACAAGCTCTTAAAAGAGCTAAGTGATTGAAGCTCAGGGGAGCATGCAGAGCATAGCAATCCCCAGTGTGAATATAACAGCTCCCTCCAATAACGAGACAAGGCTACGTTTAGAGGGATCAAGAAGAACTATCTAAACCTTTATTTCCCTTGGGACCAGCCCATAGGGTCACCACAATAACATTGTTGTGAAACCTCAATAAAATCAAAAACAGTCAAACCATAGCAGGCAACACACAGTGACTTATCACAACACAATGGCACATTTTTAAAGGGGTGGGGGAGACAATATTTAACAGTAAATATCTCACCTGCCTGCAGAATTAACAATATGCAAATCTACCCGAATATGCAAATGAACCAGTCTTGCAATTCAGGTAGTGCATATTGCTGTTGCTACCAACAGAGGGCACTAGACAAGCTCCATAGCCAAACCCACCTAGTTGGTAGCAAACCTCAGCAGTACAGGAGAGCAGGCAATACATTTCACAGTACACACACACACACTATAAACAATTACATTACACACACCCTGCATCTATAATGGGTACAGGGTGACTAAAACATAAGATAAACAAAGCAGCCTACATAAATAGTCTGTCTGAAGGTAGACTAGGGGCTTTAAAGCCAAATACATGAAAGAGTCATAGTCACAGGGGAGGAGGCTGGCAAGCAGGCCTCTCCAGGACCAAGTGGCGAAGGGCACTTCGTCACAACTTATTTCTACACTTAGTTCCTTAAGTACTCATGGATGGATACCGTCAGGCCCTGGAGCTTTGTTTATATTAACTTTCTTTAGTTGCTGCAGCACCTTGTCTTGAGTTAACCAATTACAATTATTCTGCAAGTTTTTAGTAGCAATCATTTGCACATCTATTGCCATGGGTTCTTCCTTAATATATACAGAGGAGAAATAGTTATTTAAAATTGCTGCCTTTTCCTGGTCTTCATTAACTAACACACCCGTTTCAGTTTTTAGTGTACCTACACTTTCATTTTTGTTTTTTTTAGAATTTATGTACTTAAAAAATGCTTTAACATTTATTTAGACATGCTCCACTCTTTTTATTTTTTTCCCACAAATTGATTTTGTGAGTTTTGTGTGTAATGGTGGGATTTGTACACAAGTGTTTAGAGCGTTATTTCACTATTTGTTATTATCAGAATATAATAATAATTATTATAATATAATATGCTATTGTACTGTTATTGGAAAGATTTTTTTTTGTGGTTTGCAATGATGTTATAAAGCTTTCTAAATACTGTAAACTGTTAGCTATCCCATTGCCTGCAGTTTCTTTGATTTGGCTTCTTGCCACTTCTGTTGTGTTTGCTCTTTTTATACTTGCCTTGGCATCGCTGAACTATAGCCAAGTCTCTTGGAATATCTCCTGACGTCCTTTAAGTTGTTCTGTTTTTTTAAATAGCGGACTCATGTAGTATAACTAATGTTTAAGCCTAGCAAAGAAAGTACTTCTGGCATTTACCACAATATGTTTGTGTCATGGTACCTTGGGGTGATATTCTGGCATTATGACTGGCAACAGATGGTATATATAGTGCTCTACTCACATGCAACTTTTTGGATGCACAGTGGGATGTATCATTCATGCGACACCACACTTAAACTTTCCAATGTGACACTAGCCAAAAAGGCTTTTATACTACCTATTTAAACTCACACCATTTTATTTCCCTGCAGTAGTTTCCATTTTGTTATCTGAGTGCACATTATCAGTATATTTGATCTCTTGGTATCTGAATGGGTTTGTTGATTATTTTGTCCTCTGGAATCATTGACCTTTGCTTTTTTTCTTGTTTTCACGATTCTTTGAATCCCATTGAGTTCAGCTTGTTCTAACTTATTCTCTGCCTGTTCGTAAACCTGACAGGCAGAGAATAAGCAAGAGCAAGCTGGTAACACACAACTGCATACCTCACAAGTTTCCCTATTTAGGAGGAACAGTTTCTATTTTTGGGCCTGAAACCCTCTGCCCCTCCTTTCCATCCTAATGTCAAAAGCAGTGAAGGCGAAGGTGGTTCCTGGGTGACAGGTGAAAGTAGGGCACCGCAGAGCAGGTACTTGCCGTAGGGCATATTATTAGTGGGGGTGCTTGCTTTGCCACCATATTTAAAGTGGCTGTGGAGCAGGTGCCAAGGGGGTGTTGGGGTTTCTCTGCACTGATTTCCAACTTACCTTGCATGTCCTGTATGGATCCTAAAACTAAAATATAGCCTGGTATTAGTACAGAGCAGAATGTTGTTGAGCAAAGAAAGTACTTCTGGCATTTACCACAATGCCTTGGTTTCACAGTAGCTAAGGATGGTGGCAATGGACACTGTCACTCTGTGTCACTTTATAGTGCTCTATTCACATGCAACATTTTGGATGCACAGTGTGATATATCATCACTCCAGATGATACCTCACTGTAACTCACTGTAACCCACCTTAAAAAAAAGACAAATACAATGACAATTAAACATGTGTTTATGAATGTAGGTAAGTGTGATTGGATGTGCATATATTTATGAATGTGTGTATATTTGTATGTGTGTTTGTGTATGTGAGTCTATGTTTGTATATGAGTCTGTGTGTGTGTGTGTGTGTGTGTGTATAAATGCATGTGGGTACATGAATGTGTGGATATGAATTATTATTATTATTATTATTATTATTATTATTATTAGATAGAAGATAGATAGATAGATAGATAGATAGATAGATAGATAGATAGATATTATGCCAGGTAAGGAGCAATTATTCTAACTGGTCACCATTTACAACCCAATGTTGTAAATCTCGCCCAAAGATCAGTCCACTTGGACCCAAACCTCCTTAATGGCTTCTCATATCACATCAACAGAAGATCATCAACAGAAGATCGCTCACAGAGCAAAGGGTGCATTTTTTAAGTAAAGAGGAAATGCAGTTAGTCTGAACTGGATCCTGAAGGGTACATGTATGTAAGTAGAGAGTAACTGTGTATGGGCATAAACCTGACCCCTTAGTAAACCCGCAGCTTTTGCTCCAATAAAACACACCAGACTTGCTTTGGATTAAAATAGGCCACAGCTTTATTAAAATATAAATATATAAATCTTTAAACTTCAACTTTATAACATAAAACACTATATACGTAATTCTTAGTAAATAGATACGTCACTGAGTACCACCTTGCCAACCAACCATAACTTAAGGGCAGCTACCCCTTCCCCCATAGTTCCAACTAGCACAAGGCCTTTTCTTGGGCCTTTCATTGCGTAATGCTAAGCACTAGCCAGCTAGTTGGCTCAGTGGTCACGTCAGTTATCCATCACTGTACCTGAGGTTAAGGGAGGGACAGACCTATCCATCCCCTTTCCACAGACCGATGGTCCAACCCCCGGTTGACAAGGGCGATGTACCGTAACACACTTGCTGGGTGTACACAAGCCCGCTGGGCTCCGACATGCCCACTGGGCACCCACACAGCCCGCTGGGCTCCCACAATGCCCACTGAGCACCCACAAAGCCTGCTGGGCAATCACCACACCCACTGGGCATACACATGCTTGCTGGGCAAACAAACTGTGACAAACAAAACAAACTGACAAACAAACATGAAACAATTAAAGTAAGGGGGGAAGGGAAGCTGTTCCCAAATGATAATTAAGATGGCTGCTGTACTGTAAGATGGCAACCTATTTATACTAGCCCACCCATCTACCCAAACTACGACACCCACATCCCAAACCACTTTACCACATTCCTCTGTATAGACTCCCATCACACTCACATGTCCCTGTTCCTGCCAAGGCCAGGCCTGACTCCTCAGGGTCTTGTGCGTAAGTAGAGGGTAACTGTGTATGGGCATAAACCTGACCCCTTGATAAACTCCAGCCTCTGCTCCAATGAAAACAAACCAGACTTGCTTTGGATTGAAATAGGCCACAGCTATATTAAAATATAAATATATAAATCTTTAAACTTCAGCTTTATAACATAAAACATTATATGCATAATTACTTCGTAAATTGATTTGTCACTGAGCCAACTAACCATAACTTAAGGGCAGCTGCCACTTCCCTCCTCGTTCCAACCATCACAAGGCCTTTTCTTTGGCCTACCATTGCATAATGCTAACCACTAGCCAGTTAGTTGGCTCAGTGGGCACGTCTGTTATCCATCACTGTACCTGAGGTTAGGGGAGGGACAGCCCTACCCATCCACTTTCCATGGACCATTGGTCCAACCCCCGGTTAACAAGGGCCATTATGTGAGAAGTGACAGATTAAGGGAAAAAGGGAGGAGTACAAAAACAAACTCCTACACTTATACATTGTATATTTAATAAATATATAATATATTCTATATATATTTTATTGCTGCTCCCCTTAATTCTCTAGTTACTTTTTATCACATGATCTATAAACCAAATGGCAGAAAAATATTCCTAATATTGTACTGCAACATACAGGTGATACTCGAAAAATTTGAATATCGTGAGAAAGTTCATTTATTTCAGTAATAAAAAGGGGGAAACTAATATATGAGATAGACGCATTACATGCAAAGCAAGATAGTTCAAGCCGTGATTTGTCATACGTGTGATGATTATGGCTTACAGCTCATGAAAACCCCAAATCCACAATCTCAGTAAATTAGTATATTGGGAAAAGGTGCAATATTCTAGGCTCACAGTGTCCCACTTTAATCAGCTAAGTAAGCCATAACACCTGCAAAGGGTTTCTAAGCCTTTAAATGGTCTCTCAGTCTGGCTCAGTAGGAATCACAAACATTGGGAAGACTGCTGACCTGACAGTTGTGCAGAAAGTCATCATTGACACCCTCCATAAGGAGGGAAAGCCTCAAAAGGTAATTGCGAAGGAAGTTGGATGTTTCCAGAGTGCTGCATCAAAGCACATTAATAGAAAGTTATGTGGAAGGGAAAAGTGTGGAAGAAAAAGGTGCACAAGCAGCAGGGATGAACATAGCCTGGAGAGGATTGTCAGGAAAAGGCCATTCAAAAGTATTGGGGACTTTCACAAGGAGTGGACTGAGGCTGGAGTCAGTGCCTCAAGAACCACTACACACAGACGGATCCTGGACATGGGCTTCAGATGTCGTATTCCACTTGTCAAGCAGCTCCTGAACAACAAACAACATCAGAAGCGTCTTACCTGGGCTAAAGAAAAACAGACCTGGTCTATTGCTCAGTGGTCCAAAGTCATCTTTTCTGATGAGAGCAACTTTTGCATCTCATTTGGAAACCAAGGACCCAGAGTCTGGAGGAAGAATGGAGAGGCACACACTGCAAGATGCTTGAAGTTTCCACAGTCTATGTTGATTTGGGGAGCCATGCTGGTGTTGGTCCACTGTGCTTCATTAAGGCCAGGGTCAATGCAATCGTCTACCAGGAGATTTTGGAGCACTTCATGCTTCCTTCCGCAGACGAGCTTCATGGGGATGCTGGCTTCATTTTCCAGCAGGACTTGGCACCTGCCCACACTGCCAAAAGCACCAAAGCCTAATTCAATGACC